TGGTCAAGATCCGACCAGGAAACATGGCTGGTCAGCCTCTGCCCTGGGGTGTGTGGGGGGAGGGGGCAGGGGACCGTCCCACCCCCCCGTCTCATCCTGAGGTCAAATGTAATTTAAGGGATCACTCTGCAGAGGGAAGAGATGATTGTCAACGTCATCCGTGCCCTGAAGCTCCTGCAGGATACGGACCCTGAACTTTTGCCACCAGAGTGAAGGAGGGGACGCCGCTCATCCCCCCAGACTGTGTAAATGAAGGGGGGGCAGGAGAATCTGTCTTCACAACCTGGTCTGTGGGTCAGTGGGAGAGTCAGGCAGAGGGTGATCACCCCGTCCCTTGACTCTAAGGCTGCCCTGGGGGTGTCTCCACTGGGAAACCAAAGGTGAGTAGGGAGGGTGAAAACAACACAGGGTGCCACTGCTCTGTGGCCTCCCTAGCGTCACGCCAGCATCAGGCGGGGGCCCGGGCAGTCCCAGCGAGGAAGCAGCTGGCCGGCTAAAGGGACCATCAGGGGGAGATGGTGCGGGCAGGGCGTAACGTGTGCCAGACCTAAGATAAGATGCTTTTGGGAGTGAGAGAAGGAAACAGAAAGTTCCTTTAACAACTATTGCAAAGCAAATCTCTAGATAAAAATCCCCACTTCCTTTTTTCTGTGCATTTACTCCAGAATGTGCCTGGGTCAGGGCGCCCACCCCCAAAGGGTCAGTGTGGCTGGGGAGAGGGTGGGTCAACCATAGCATTTGCTGAGCAGCGGGGCAGGGAGGCCCCCACTGTGTGTCTGGGGAGGGGAGTAGTGTGTGCATCTCAGGAAAGGGGGTTCCAAGCCCTTGGGAATGGGGGGTGGGTGTGGAGACTCATTCATTCTCCTTTGTCACTCAGGAGTGAGGAGTCAAAAACACTCCCTTACTAACGGGGCCCAGGGTCCACCCGGCTTTGTTCCTAGATGTCTCTGCAGATACCCTGGGGGTGGGGGGAGCATCATGTGGGGTCTAGAGTCAGAACCTGCGTCTGGGTCCAGAAGGACTCACTGCGAAGTGCAGGGTTGAAAGGGGGAGAGAGTGAGGTGTCTGGGGGCAGTGGAGGGTAGAAGAGACACAGGCTGAGAGGGTCACTCAGTTCAACCTGCTAGTTTTAAGGTCACGCAGGACAGAGTGGAAGTTAAGTCAGACAGACCTGGACCTGCATCCTATGTGACATCGGGCGACCGGCCTCACCTCTCTGGGCCTCACTTTCTTCATCTACAAAATGGGATGATCTCAGCATGACCAGCAAGTTCTGAGGCGAGGAAGATACGAGATAATGCATTTGGTTTCTACGTGCTTGCTAACATCCCTGTCATTACTGATACTGATAGTAGCTTTTAATGCTACAGATGTGAGGAGGGAAAATGGCAGTAATAGCCCCAGCAAATTCGTTCTGGAAGGGGCTTCCTTCCTCTAGACCAGTGGTTCTCAAACCTGGGGGCGATTTTGTCCTTGGGCAGGGACTTCCGGGATTGACAACTTTTGGTTGTCACAGTTGCAGGGGGTTGCTCCTGAGGTTAGAAGCCAGGGCTGTGGCTAACCGTTCTATGATGCACAAGACAGCCCCCTCCCTTCCCAGCAAAGAGCTGTCTGGCTCCACGTGCAACAGCGCTGAGGTTCAGGACCTCTGCTCCAGACGTGTGCTGCTCGGTACAATGACAACCGCCTACTCGTGGCTCTGAGCACCTGAAATTTGGTGAGATGTGCCGTACGTATAAAAGACGCGTTGGATTTCAAAGACTTAGTACGATAAAGACAATGTAAACTATCTCATTCACGATTTTTATGTTGATTACATATCGGAGTGCTAGTATTTGGGATATATTGGGTTAAATAAGATATAGTACAAAAACTGGGGTGCCTGGGTGGCTCTTTCGGTCTCAGCTCAGTTCATGATCTCACAAGTTTGTGAAATAGAGCCCCGAGTTGGGCTCTGTAGAGGCTCATAGAGCCTGGCTGGCTAAGGTCTAAGAAAGAAAGGTTTGCAGCCTGGGAAACGGCTGGTTGAAAAGCAGCAAAGCAAAGCAGGAAAACTGGTGTCCTTTGACATGTCAAGCCTGAAAAGAACCGGACCTTACCTGTGAATCAACATGTTTTCCCACCGTGTAACAATTCATCTAAAGTAGAAAAACAACCCCCTTCCTATGATGTCTACACTGTCCCAGGCACGTTCCGCTCACCTGCCTGCACATTGCTACCCTGACTATACTTGTCACCCAAAACCTTAGGAATGTGCTTCAATCCTGCTTTTCAAACTACATGTTTCTTTCCCCTGCAGCCTTTGAGATGCACTGAGAAGATTCTCAACAGAAACAAGAGAAGAGCTTTGCTTGGGCCGGCACCACTAGAATTCTGGGCCCCCTCGCCCTCTCCTTTCTCTGCTTCAGGAGCCTGGGGTAATCAGGGTTTGCTGGTTAAACCCGGCAGGGCTCTGGGCTGACAGCGAGGAGCCTGCGTGGGATTCTCTCTGTCCGTCTCTCTTTGCCCCTCCCCAATTCGTGCGTGTGCACCGACTCTCTCTCTCAAAATAAATACTTAAAAATAAATATTATGAAAATTAATTTCACCTCTTTATTTTATTTATTTTTATTTTTATTTTTTTATTTTTTTAAAATGTTTTATTTATTTCTAGGAGAGAGAGACAGCGTGAGCAGGGGAGGGTCAGAGAGAGAGGGAGTCACAGACTGAAACAGGCTCCAGGCTCTGAGCTGGCAGTCAGCACAGAGCCCGACGCGGGGCTCGAACCCACAAACCGCGAGATCATGACCTAAGCGAAAGTCGGAAAGTCGGACGCTTAACCGACTAAGCCACCCAGGCGCCCCTATTTTATTTATTTTTAATGTTCTGTTTATTTTTGAGAGAAAGAGAGACAGAGTACGAGTGGGGGAGGGGCAGAGAGCCAGGAAGACACTGAATCTGAAACTGGCTCCAGGATCCGAGCTGTCAGCACAGATCCCGATGCGGTGCTCGAACTCACAAACCACGAGATCATGACCTGAGCCGAAGTCGGACGCGTAACCGACTGAACCACCCAGGCGCCCCACACCTCTTTATTTCAATCCTAAAAAATGTGGCTACGAGAAAATGAAAAATTTACACATGCGGCTCAGTTTGTGGCTGGCATCCTGTCTGTGTGGGACAGTGCTGGTCTAGACAGCGCCTCTTCTCTTGGGGGTGGTAGTCTTAAGGGGAGTGCCGTCGGGGGGTGTGGTCGTGGTGGCAGTGGCCGCTTTCTTGAGAAAGGACAGAGGGGATCCCCTGGCAGAAAGAGGATGCGTCCACACCTCCCCGACTCTCTGCACCACCCCCCCCCCCGCCCGGGGCTGGCCTCTCTCTGCCAGGACGAGGCAGGGCAGGAAGCCTGAGCATGGCCCCTCTCTCCTCTCCCCATCCCCCCTCCAAAGGCACCATGCCAGTCTTTCAGGCTGCAGCAAAAGGGCCTCAGTGAACAAACAGGCGGGTATGGGGACAGCTGAGGCTTAGAGACCCGAGTGCCCTGGCTACCCGCCCACTCCCTGGCAGTGCCCAGATTCGGACTGGGGGTGGGGAGGGGAGGGGAGCTCTCCCAATCACTGAGGCCTGGACCACACGCCACTGTTGCATTACGACCCTCGGAAACCACCCTGGAGTTTCCGTGTGGACAACGGAGGCCAGGGGCAGATGAGCGGCGAGCGTCCCTCGTCTGCACGGTGACCAGGACCTTCGCCTTCATGGAAAGAGGCGGGGGCTTAAGAGTATCAGGGTGGCCGGTGCCTGCCGAGGAGGGGGCAGGGCATAGGGTGGGCGGGGCTCCCAGGACCACTGGAGGTGACAGAGGAGGGGGCGGGTGTGTGGGAAGACGCAGGGGCAGCATGTGGTCAGGGTCTGGGGAGGTGGGGTGCTCCAGATGACAGGTGACTTGGGGGCAACACGCCACATTGGCATCTCCAGCTCAGCTCACGGCACAGAGAGGTTAGGGGACCTGCCTAAGGCTACCAGCATGGGGTCCCACCTTAGAGTCCGGCATGCTCTCTCCTGTTGGCACTGACCCCTCCAACTCTAGCGACGAACATTGCACATGCTTGGAATGGAGGGTTGCTGGGACAGAATGGTCATAGAATGACCCTCCTTGGACTCTCTCCACCTTTTCACTCTCACTAGCCACACCTTCGCAAGGATGCCCCACAGAATGCAGGGGATGGGCCACTGGACTTGCCCACTTCCTGGGGGCCGGGGGCCATCGGCGGGGCATGACCTCAATCCCCCTCCATGTCCTGCTGTCCCAGAAACCCTGCACCCCACCAACATTTGTGCACAAGTGAAGACGGGGAGGGAACGGGGTCCAGAATCAGGGACGCGCTTCTGACAAAGACCCCCGCCTCTGCGCCCTCCAGCCTGGCAGAATAAAGCCCTTCCCAGCCCCAGGGTGAAGTCAGGGGAAGGCATTCTGGGACACAGAGCTCGCAGCCAGTGCCTGGGGACAGGCCACCACCAGCAGCCCCCACGGGACGAAATTGGAGCCTGAGCAACCCCCAGGGCCAGATTCCGCCCCAGGGCAGCTCCCCTCTGGCCTGGCCCCAGCCTCTACCCACCCCCAATGAATCCTGCAGAAAGCTCAGCTGATTTGCTGTGGGTGGTGAGTCAGGAGGGTCTGAGAGGAAAGGGGGGGGGAGAAGGGAGGTGCTGAGGGGAGCCGAGGTGGGAAGACTGGGTGGGGGCGGGGGGGGGAGGAGGGTGTCTCCGAGGTTGTCCTGGGAAAGGGGCTGGAGAAGGTCAGACTGTGGGCAGACTGGAGTGCAGGGGAGGGGTTCTGGGAAGGGGAGCTGCGTCTGTGTGAGGGTCTCAGGATTTGGGGGAGGCTGTCAGGTTTCTGGGTGAGTTTCTTAGTTTTTCTGGGGGCAGGGGCCTCGGGATGAGGGGCAACTCGCGCTGGAGGAAGGCCGTCACGTGCGTCCCGGAATCCCAGGAGGGTCTCGGGCCGTCGCGGCGGCCCTGCTCACCTGTAGACATCGGTCCAGAGGTGCGTGCCCAGCACGTACACCGCCTCGACGCGGCTCCCGTACTGCAGCCGCACGGTCCGCTCCTGCTGCATCTTCCCCCAGCGGCCGGTCCTCGCTTGTCCAGCTCAGGTCGGCGCGGAGCACCTGCTGCAGGGGAACCCGCTGGGATCGCCCGAGGCGCTGCGGGCCCGGCGGCTTATATACCGCCGGTGGGCGGGGCGTCGCGCGGGAAGGTGGGGGCGTGGCCACGCTTGGGGGCCGGGCCCGCAGCCCACGCCCCGCCCGCCTCCCCCGGAGCCTGGAATCCGGGTGAAGTCAGCGGTTGCCAATTTCCTCCTTTCCACGCTTGCTTTGCTCCCTCAGTGCGCTTTCAGTGGGCTCCCGGCTGCGGGCGCCCCCAGTTTTTCAGGGCAGAGAGTGCAACCGCGGAGCTGTCAGAGGGGCGAGGATGGAAGCGGTGGGAGCCCAGAGGGAGTGGGGGCCCTGACCTGGCCTGGGGCCCCGGACCTGTTTTCCTAAAGGAGGCATTTGCAAACTCACGGGAAGGGAGGCGGGAAGGGAGGCGAGGGAGTCAAAGCCGAGAAGCCAGATGCAAGCTGACCTCCCCTCCACCTTCCTGATCGGGGAACATGGGGGAGGGGGAACCCAGCAGCCTCCGGGGTCAGGACGCCAAGCCAAGGCGCCGATGAGAGGGTGGGCGCTGGGAGCCTCGGCGTGGCTTCTTCCGGAGGAGTGGTCAGGTGTGGAAGTGAAAAGGGCCGTTCTGGCTGTGGAAGACGGAGGTGCCCTGGGGCAGCGAGGAGTGAGGGGATGGGGTGGATGAAGACCCCAGCTGGGGCTGTGTGAGAGGGCAGGATTGATCTGAGCAGAGGTTGTGGGGTATTGATGCTGCAGGGGAGGGACAGTGAGGGGCTCCATTCTGGCCTGGGCTGCTGGGTGAAAGAGGGTGCCACCGCAGGGGTCGGCCTGGGTCTTGCGGAGGCTGAAGCATGGGACAGGTCCAGTGGGAGCCCAAAGCAGTCCCCACCGCCATCTCAGACCCTCCCCGCTCTGAAGCTAAGCCAGGGCCTATCCAGATAATCCAGCCAGCTATGAGTAAGAGTTCCTTGGTAGAGGGGAGTGGAGCTGGGGAGGGGGAGAGAGTGGACAGAGGTTATAAGAAGGACGAGGGAGGCTGAAGAGGGGTGTGTTTGTCGAGGGGCCAGGACTGCTGGGGACATGGGAGCCCTGGGAGGGGTGCACCTGAGTCAGAGGGATGAGGCTCACAGGTGCCCGGAACTGAGACACACCCAGCCCCTGACCCCATCAACTTTCTCGAAGCGGCCCAAGTTAGGAAGTGGTGAAGCCCAGCTGCTCGTGGGTAGCAGGATCTGGGAGGAATGTGGGTGGAGAAAGGGGAAGGCCTGAGTTGGGCTGGGAGGGGGCGTGTGCCCCCAAAAGGCTCACAGACCCAGGGAGACGCTGGTAACTTTTAATAGGCTCCTGGCAGTGCCGAGGGAGCGCACCATCCTGGCAGGAGACAGCTAGATGGTAGCTACCTTGGGCACCTTGGAGCTGCCTTTGAGGGTCCCACCAGGTGGGCTCCTGTCTGGGCATCCCTCTGCTGGAGTCACTTTTGAGCCCCTACTCTGTGGCAGATACGGGCCATATGCTGGGGGGGGCGTGTCCCACCTCCCTGGGGGGTCATAGAGCACGACACCCTCATCTCACCCACCGGGGAACAGAGTTGGGGGGGAACACTGCACCCCCACCAAGGCCCCGGCAGGTCACGACAGGAGCAGCGTAGGGATAACGTCAGGCAAGAGGCGGTGATTGCCAGCGGAGAGGGAATAGCAGCAGGCCCTTAATGCGTTCTTTCTGGAATGTGCCAGGCGCGGCTCCAGCGGTCCTTTTCATGTATTAGAATTAGATCATTGTACCCTCCCGATTAACCCTGCCACTTTACACATGAAGAAAGTGAGCTGCACAAAGGTCAAGGTATTTGGCCTCAGTCTTCTAGATCCCGAGAGTGACGGAGCCAGGGTAGGAGCCCGTGTGGCCCCGGGGGGGGGGGCGGACGGGTGCAGAACAGACAGGAGCAGAGAAGCGACGTGGTCTCCGAATTGGTAGATGACGAAGCCCAAGTTCTAGTCCCTTTGTAGGGCCTGCCTCTGTGGAGCCCTGGACAATGCCCCCTGCCTTTGGAGCCTCATTTCTGTCATCTGTGAACAACTGACCTCTCAGCAAAGACGGGAGGCTGACATTGCATGAGACAATGTATGGGAAACACTGGCACCGTGCCTGGCACGAGGCAAGCACTCGAGAGGTGAGACTCCCTCTCCCTAAAAAATTCCAGCCTGGGACACCTGGGTGGCTCAGTCGGGTAAGGATCTGACTTTAGCTCGGGTCATGATCTCACGGTCTGTGGGTTCGAGCCCCGCATCAGGCTCTGTGCTGACAGCTCAGAGCCTGGAGCCTGTTTCAGATTCCGTGTCTCTCCCTCTCTCTCTGCCCCTCCCCTGCTCACACTCTGTCTTTAGCTGTCTCAAAAATAAATAAATATTAAAAAAAAAAATCGAACCTGGACCCAGTGGACCCGCACTCAGGGTTCCTGCCCTTGGCTCCGGGCTTGGTTGTTGTTGGGGGGGCCGGGGGGGTCTCCCAGTGCCCAAGGGTTTAAAATAGCTGAAGTGATCACAGCTGTCGGTGGATTCAGGGCCGGAGGTCTCAGGCATCACGGCTGCTCCCACCGCTCCCCTGGGGACCGGAAGAGCCGCAGTGGCATCACATTGTGCCTTTTGGGGAATGTCAACAAAGGGCAAGCTTAGCGTGGGCCGGTTCCTGGCACTGACCCGCACCCCACAGCCCTGACTCCGGCTTCCGCCAAGCTTGTGGCTGGAGAGCCCGGGCTGGAAGGGCTCCTCTGAGCTGTTCTGTGCTACGACCCTTTCCTGGGGGTCTCTGTGCCCTTCTGTGCCAGGCCTTGGGGAGGGGAGGCGGACATCTGCCTTGAGGAGAGCGACAGCTCACTGAGAGCATCATTCATGCTAGGGTTTAAAAAGACAGAGATAGACAAGTAATACCTGATTAGCATCGAAAAAGAAAAAAAGCATGATCACCCATGATATCAGCACCGGAGACACCACAGTGAACTTTTTTTAAACTATGATCCCGCCCAGAGGCCATCGGGCGCTGCTGTGGGTGACCACCTGGCTTAGCCCTCAGGCTCTGCCAGAGGCCGCCCTGAGGGCTTTGCACCTTTTAGCTCATTTAATCCCCCAACAACCCTGTGAGACGGGAGCTATTATTATGCCCAATTTGCACAGAGGCACCAACTGGCCTGGTGGAGAGGAGCACGTATGGCCTTTGGACTTGGCAAAGCTGGGGTCAAGTCCAGTGCTGCCCCTTGCTAGCTAGGAGACCTCTCTGGACCTTAGCTTCTTGTTCCTAACAGGAGAAACTTGCAGGCACGGAGCCTGCAAGGTTGTAAGGAATAGAAAGGTGATACACACAGTAAAATGTTTAGCATATCAGAGCCCAGCTCAGACTAAGTCCAACAGATGGAGACACACACACACACACACACACACACACACACACACACACAGTGTTCCTGCCCCAGGCTAGGGCTCATCATTTTAAATATCTAAATACATGTTAAGTTTTTGTAAAAACAGGCTTCTGACGTCCATGCTGTTCTATTAACACGCTTCTGCAATTTTTTAGAAGCATGCATTCTGATGGTGCGATCATCATCCCCCTTCCTATTGTCCAGAACTTCAGAGTTTGCAGATTAAAGCAAGGTTCAGATTACCCACGGAGACTCGGAGAGGGGAAGGGATCGGAGCCAGGTCACCCATCCAGACAGCAAATGGAAGAATGCAGGGTAGGGAGTAGATGATACTTAGTGAGTGCTACTGTGTGCCAAGCCATACCAGGCGCCCGGTGGTCTGAGATCTAAAAACAAACAGCTGTGCCATTCTTAGGAAGGAGAGGGCAGGCACAGAGGAGTGCCCTTGATCACTGCTGGGGTGGAAAGACTTTTCTCTACCTTTCAAGATTCTTGTAGCTGCTCTAAGAATCCACCTGAATGAGACAGATTCATGAGAGAAAATCAAACGGAGTTTAATAGCATGTATACCTTCTGTATACATGGTGGGTGGGGGACTCAGGAAAACTGAGTAACTCCTGAAATGGCTGAAGCCGTCACCTTAAATACCATTTTTGGCTAAAGACAAAAGAAGAGGGGTGCCTGGCTGGCTCAGTCAGTAGAGCATGCAACTCGATCTTGGGATCATGAGTTCAAGCCCAACACTGGGTGTTGAGGTTACTTAAAAATAAATAAATAAATAAATAAATAAATAAATAAATAAATAAATAAAATGTTGGGTTGGGAGTCAGTTATGGGGGGGACCAGGAAAAGCACAGTCAACAAGGATCACGTTGTTATGCAGATTTAAGATTCTCCACTGAGAGAGTGTCTAGAGATAGTCATGCCCCTTTTCCTGGTACAGTGAGGGAGACACCCTTACAAAAAAAGATTTCCCTTATACATATTAAATGTCTCTTATGAAATGGTAACTTCTACTGGTTTTCAGAGCTTCTCTTTTGCCTGCAGTTTCTTAAAAATAACCAGTTTAAAATAACAATATGCCAAAGAGGCATATTTTGGGGTGATCCCCAAAACCACTCAAGCAGATGCCTGAATCTAAAGCCCTTCTGTGTAGAAGCTCTTTTTTTTCAAATCCTCCTCCTCCTCCTCCTCCTCCTTCTTCTTCAAGTTTATTTATTTATTTTGATAGAAAGAGAGGGAGAGAGAGAGAATCCCAAGCAGGATCCTCGCTGTCAGCGCAGAGCCTGATGTGGGGCTCAGTCTCATGAACTGTGAGATCATGATCTGAGCCGAAATCAAGAGTCAAACGCTTAACCAACTGAGCCACCCAGGCGCCCTATACAGAAGTTCTGGAGGGGCACTGAGCCAGGGCCCTGGGGACGCAGAGGAGAGGGGCAGGGCTGCCTTGTAGAATGAGGCGAGAGATGGAGGAGGGTCTGGAGGGAGGAGGAGATGGGAAGAATGTTCCAGACAGAGGCAAATGCACGTGTGAGGGTCTGGTGAGTTCCATCTGACCAGGGTTTAGGTAGGGCAGGGGCTGGCCGGGCCAGGACCAGGTGACACAATG